GTACCAGTTTAACGTTGAATTCTATTTATGATTTTAACCTAACTGTTATTTCCAAGTAAAAGTTTTAATCCCTGTGACAATTTGAATCGACATCCGGGCACACAAATATATGATCGGATAGTTTTTATAATTTTCACGCAGAGCTACACGAATGCTTACTGCGCATATTCGTCCTTATTTTTGAAATGATAAACTAGAGGAGATGCAGCTAGGTAGTCCAATCAGAGCCAAGTTCATGACAACCATCTGTAAGACAAGGTTGGCCAAGCAACGCACGTGTTCGAAACACTGGCATTACCTTGGCCATTGGGACTTGAATGGCCTTCATTGATATATATCGGAGGTTCTTTTTTACAGGAAAGTTTCTGTTATAGGAAAATCAAGATTCAACATCAATGGCATTTAATTGAATACTTCGTTTTCATGAAAATTAGAATTTAATTACTAAGTATAAAACCTAGGTTGTCAATCAGATTTCATTACATGACTAATGAGTCGCTGGGATTTAAGTCCTAAAGTATGCCGGGAAAGTTTTTATTTTTAAAAACATAGTTACACTAAATATATTAGACGGAGGAAGAGGTACAGATTGCACCTGACTTTCCCAGGTCAAAATAAAGACCTAAATCCCGATGAAGCAGAAACTAGATGTACTTCCGCAGGGTCCCCAAAAATGTTCTGTTTGAAGAGTAAATAAAACCAAAATTAAGAGTAACAAATATTTTTATTTCTTCCTTTTGAAGTTCACATGTCATGCTGTGTTGTAACCTATAGAGTGCATAATTTTTCTAGTGATTTATGGCATGCGCACGTTTTTCTGACGTCACGACAGTACAAACTGCAACGTTAAGCGTCCTTCATGTGACGTCACTTTATCGTCTACTGACTGACTAACATGAAACACACTACTGCAGGATGGTTAAAACAGGTGACCCCTCTCGGGGTAATTATTGATTTATTGAACAGCTTCATGTAAATTGCATCTACCTTCTCTCACTAGTTCTGGAGTCCAAAACGTCGTTTCCAAACTATAATGAAAGCAGGAGCAGTCCATATGAAACTGTGCCAACACACTGTCTATAACGTTCTTTAAAAGATCGTGCTCATTTGTTTGAAAATGACACTATTTTAGTAGAATATAATTTAAATCTATTTTAATTCAATTTGTACTCGTACAATCTGGCAGGACAAGTGAAATAACTTTTTGTATTTCCATAATCAGGTAGGATAAGTGAAAACATAAAATATTCTATACTTCCTGATTAATAAATGACAGTTTATTTATTATAACTTAATTGAACAGGATTAATTATTTAAAGTATTCGGTTTATTTTACTTGTGGTTTATTTACGAAATTAAATTTTTTCTCCAGATTAATTTGGTGACAAGCTGGATTGATGGTAGTTTTGTGTACAGCACCAGTGAAGCTTGGGTCAATTCCATGAGATCCTTCAAAAATGGAACGTTTCGTCGAAACAAAGACAACAATTATCCACCTAAAAACATCGAGAGGGCACCATTAATGAATTCCCCGCCAGCTAAGTACTTGGGAATGCTGAGCCCGGAAAGAATGTTTCGTATGTAAAACTTATTCTTCTAAATTACAATTTTGTGTACGTACGTAAAAAGTATTCTTGTAAATTACAATTTTGTGTACGTATGTAAAAAATATTCTTTTACATTATTATTTTGTGTACGTATGTAAAAAATTATTCTTTTACATTATTATTTTGTGTACGTATGTAAAAAATTATTCTTCTAAATTACTATTTTGTGTACGTATGTAAAAATTATTCTTGTAATTTACTATTTTGTGTACGTTTGTAGAATTATTCTTGTAAATTATTATTTTGTGTACGTATCTAAAAATTAGCATTGTAAATTACTATTTTGTGTACGCATGTAAAATTTATTCTTGTAATTTACTATTTTGTGTACGTTTGTAGAATTATTCTTGTAAATTACTATTTTGTGTACGCATGTAAAAATTATTCTTGTAAGTTACTATTTTGTGTACGCATGTAAAAATTATTTATGTAAATTATTATTTTGGGTATGCATGTAAAAATTATTCTTGTAAATTACTATTTTGGGTACGTTTAAACTTATGTTTGTGAAGTGAGTTATGTATTGAGTTGGGTTTTTACAAAAACAAAATTAATTTGATCACATTTTTTTTTCTCCTTTCGTGATTATCTTTAAGTCAGTAAAAATGTTAGACAAATTAAAATGTTCGTCTCCTCTGTGAGTCAGCAGTAAGTTTACGGATTTACAACGCTAAAATCTGGGGTTCGACTTCCCGCGGTGTACAGAGTGTATATTTAAGTTATTTTGTAGCTTACTCGAAAAAAATTGTAACAACAACAGTTTATATTTTCTATGATCCCACTTGGCTGTGAAAATATGAAATTGGTAGGTCGAACTTTAAAAAATCAATTCAACATTATTTGAACCCCAAATTGGGAGTTCCTTGAAAGGTGACAATCATACAAAAAAAAACTACTTCTCAATGAGAAGCAAAATAAGTACAATACTACAAGTATGGTCATGTATTACTTTGTTTGTTGTTAATCACATACTAGTACAATGGACAACTTGTGCTATACCAATTACAGGGATCGAACCCTTACATAAAACATGCGTAACTTCAAACTTCTTTTAAAAAAATTTACATTGTTGATAACAAAAACTATTATTTTTTAATTTAACATCTTTTTTGTGTTGATGTTGAAAGTATGAATCTACGATGAGGTGTAACTGGAAAAGAGACTCGAGTAGTATTGATTCCTAAGTTCAGTTAGTAAAGAACAATTAATTTTAATTAACTGTGAAGTATGTGTACAAAACTACTTGTTCTTCTTTATTGTTAGTTTTGAAAAAATGAAAGCAAAAAAAAAACAACAACAAAAAAAACACGTGAATAACAACACTGTTAACGTCAGATAGTAGTTAAATGTACATCTTGATTAGGCTTATATGAGGCTTTGTGGCATGCTACCCGAGAAAAAGTACTATTTCTGATGAGTTTGTTCGTATTTGTTAGTTGTTGGGGATCCTAGAAGTAATCAGAACCCAGCTCTCTTAGCGTTTGGAATCCTCTTTTTTCGATGGCACAATGTCCTGGCTTCTAGAGTTCATAAGGAACACCCAGACTGGTCAGATGAAGAGATTTTCCACAGAGCCAGACAATGGGTAATTGCCAGTATGCAAGTATGTGGCAGTTATTATATTTATTTTATAATAAAAAATACCGCAGTGTGAGTAAACTTAACAGAGATTAAAAAAATTCCAAAGAAATGCATGTATTATTCTTAAATGCACGTATACGCACGAATGCAGTTTTTTTAGAAATAGGTCTGAACTTAAGTTGTCATAAAGTTAAGAAAATAAAACTTTTAAGACGGCGTGATTGGGTAATGAAAAAACTTGTATTAGCCTCATGTTTTGTTGTGTTTTTATCTTTATACAGTAAATTATTCTGTACATTTTTGTAAGACTGTCCCAGTCTCATTTTTAGATATTTACTGTGTATCATTAAACATTAGTTTCTCTTTAAACATCTGTGTTATTTAAAATGTACACTAGTTTCGTCTTAACCTTAAAAAAAGGACCATGTGTTATAATAACTATTTTCTGGTAATTCAATTAATTTTGTTTGCCGCAGGCCTAAAATATACGTATCAGATTGAACTAAGTAAACTGTATTTTTAGTACTCAATAATTATACTCATCTAGAGGAAACTACAGCTGCGTAACAGATTAAACTAAGTTTGTCTTGCTTATTACTTGTCAGGGAATTTACTTATCCAAACGGAACTACCGCTGCGTAACATACTAAAATAAGTCAATTTTGCTTGTTACTCGTCAGGGATTCTGCTCATCCAGAGGAAACTACAGCAGCGTAACAGATTAAACTAAGTCAGATTTGCTTGTTACTCATCAGGGATTTTTACTCATTCAGAGGGTTTTTTTGTTTTGTTTGAAGTTAAATACAAAGCTACACAAGGGGCTCTCTGTGCTCTGCCAACTACGGGTATCGAAACCCGGTTTCTAGTGTTGTAAATCCGCAGACATACCGCTGTGCCGCTGTGGGACTCATTCAGAAGGAACTAAAACTAAAGTAAAATTAAAATACATAAAAAAAATATATATATATAATGCATGTATTATTCTTAGAGTGGCCTTAGCAATAGGTCTGTGTTTAGAAATAGATCAGATCTATGACCTAATTGGCGGTTAAATTGTGAAATTGGAAGATGGAGCTTAAAAATTAATTCAATATTATTTGAGTCCCAAATTGGAAGTTTCTTGAAAAGTGACAATTATATAAAAAGCTACTTTTTGATAAGATATAAACTAATACAACGGTTGTGGCCATATATTAGTTTATTGTTAAGCAGAAGTCTATACAATGCGCAACTTGTGCTGTACCCACCAAATGGATCAAAACCTTACATGCTGGGAGTGAAACACGTGACATTGATGTATAGCACATCTCTTTATATTCTCTTCATAAATTAAACTACAGAAAATATTATATAGTGACCTCTGTAGTCAGGTTTTTTCCTTTGAAAGCATGATGTAATATTTTAGAATATAGATGATCGTGAGGAGCTAAAAAAACAACAAAAAACTGGGCCATTCCAAATGTCAGTATTTGCTGCTTATCAAAGATTTCACCAACTAATGTGCTAAGACTGACTTTCTTCTAAAAGGAGATATAAGATGTTTACGTAGATCTCATTTTATTTACGTATTTGTTAGTCGCTGCTTGTAACTAATTTAAAAAATACTTTAAAACGCTCAAGTAATATTACCTAGTGCTTAAAGAACAGTTATCGCATTGTTGATGAGTAAACGAATTACAAATATTAAGTGATATTACTTAGTGCTTAAAGTACCGTTATCACATTGTTGATTTGTAAACAACAGAACTGTGAATTACAAATAATATATAACATTAATTGATACTTAAAGCACCGCTATCGTATTGTTGACGAGTAAACAAAGAACTACGAATTATAAATGTTAAATAACATTAGTTAGTGCTTAAAACAGTGTTACCACATTGTTGATTAGTAAACAAGAGAACTGTGAATTACAAATATTCAAGTAACGTTATTTTATTGCAAGTTACAGCTTTTACGGTAAGGAAGAATATTTTTTAGAACAGTTACGTTTCGTGCGATCATGCTCAAGTAATACAAGTTTTAATGGTAAAAAAAAGGTTTTCTAAAAATAATCTTCCTTACTGCAAAAGCTGTAATTTGTAGGGGTGCGTATCTCATCATAGTAGTCGATACGATACGTATTTAGATACAGAAGTTTTACCAACTGTTTGTTACAAAGTTTGACAGTCTTGTCTGTAATTTATTATCTATATTAC